CGATTAAGTGTTCATTTTCTTTGTTATTTTTACTAACGACTATATAATAAAAAGAACATTAAATACACGGTGGCTTGAAGTTTCATATCTTATTATTTATCTTCTCGTTAATTACTCACTCAATGCAAAAATTAAAATTTATATCTTCGCACCGCCGTTAGTTTGCGATAGCAGACTGACTCAGAAGCCCCCGGCCCCCCTCCCCCACTGGAGCTGCGGAGAAACAGCAGACTAATATCAGAGGCAGAGCGTAAGAAGGGCTCTGGGTACGAGAATGAGGCAGTGCTGATCAGTCTGCTATCGCATACTACACCCTGTCTCCGTACCCAGGCGTTTCTTTGTAAAAAAACAGCGATGCGCATATGACGAGTTCACATGAAGTATTGTAGTACTACACCGCCGTCTAACATCCTCTATATAGTACTCTCCTTGACCTTTCAAGACTAATAATGCAACATATCCTCACACGTAGTATTAGGGAGGCTGGACGCGCAGGGGCGGGAATATTAAAAAAAGGTAATCATTTTTAGACTGGGATTAGATTAGAGCCAGATTAAGATTAAACCAGGGTTAGGGTTAGAGGTTAGAGTGGGGGTTGGGTGGGGGTTAGGGTTCAACTTAATATAAGGCATATCCTTAATCTTTAGCAAATTTGACAATTAAGGATAATCCCTAATACCACGTGTGAGGATATGCAGAATAGTACTGATAGTTTCGAATGCATATTTTGAACGAAACAATACTTAAAATGTACAAATTTTAATATATTCTTTTCCAAAATACACATAGTAATTACTGTATATTAAGATGTACAACAAAGTGCATTATAAAAACGATTTATAATAAAGTAAATCTACATTGCTACGTTTCATTCTCCATATTTATGAACGTAATAACACGTGTTTGAAGTTGCGAAGAAGCAAACATGAATCGGAGTTGTTCGGAAATTACCAGAACATTCGGAAATGCCGGTATATAAATAACTCAAAATCTAACTCGAACTCGAATCCAACTCGATGTTTCGGGATTCCCATAATTAACAGAACATTACACGGTGGCTTGAAGATATGACTTTTATCTTCTCGTGTTAAAAACAATATTTTACTCACTCGCTGCGCTCGTTCGTAAAATATTGTTTTCACCACTCGAAGACTGAAAAGTCATATCTTCGCGCCGCCGTCAGTAATATCCTCCATATATGTTAGGGTCGGCGGAAAGGGTTGTGACATGTGACTATAGCCCCCAGAAGTAAAAGTGAGGGCTAAGACCCCCCAAACGATCAGAGTAAGACGGTAATATGAAGATTCTTGATCCCTGCTTATAACTGAAGACAATTATAAATTAAAGTGAACTGAATTAATTAACAACAAAAATATTATTATTGAAACTCGTATAATGCGTACGTAAAAACAACTTGGGTCAATATACGCGTGCAAATGTTGTGCTCGAATTTTCGATACGTATATAAAAGCATACGTCATTTACAAATATCAGGATTTTGGCATCTCATTCGAAATGTATAACTACTTAATTGTTGAAGGAATTTGTAGATGAAATTCCGAGAAGAATTTTTATACATTTATTAGACCTAACCAGGAGTAGTTCCGAAAAAGGCAACTTTAGGTCCCTGGCAGAAATTGAACCTGCGACCCTGCGATTCTGTTGCAGCGCTCCAACCAACTGAACTACAGAGATCATGCAGTTGTTGAGCTCTAACCACAAGTTCAAGATTTTTGCGGTATCTCACTCGTATAACTAGCAATAAATGTATAAAAATTTCACTCTAACTATTTCCATCTACAAACCCCTGATATTTACCCATATACCGTAGGCCTACATTCGTTAGTATAAAAAAAACACGAACTTGTGTTTAGAGCTCGATGATTGCTTCTCGGTCATACCTAATTTTAATGTGCAGTAATAACCAATTTGTGCAGTGATAAAAGTAAAATTTGCAGTGATAAAATTTACTGTGATAAGTTGTTAATTAACAAGAAAATGAGGCAATTAGCGGAAAAACTTCACTTGCCACTTGACAGTATTAATGAAAACATTTTGAATGGGAATAATTTGAATGAAATTGAAATGGTAACTGTGAACGTCCGCACTAATATTATACTTAAGGTTCATCAGATGAACAAAATCTCACACCAAAGATCTGACTCTTTTATGAGCTTGGAAAATAGAGTAAATGATATAGAATGTCCACGCACATTGCAGGAAATGCCCTTTTAGACAGTCTAGAAAAATTTTATGTGGGTGCATGCCCCTGAAACTCCTCCAGAGGTGTGTCACGCCCAAGCCACCTTTCATTTGCCAAGACGAAACAATTCTGTCTTTCTTGCAAGCATGTGATTATGAAACTATGCTGTCATAGACAGTCGTAACTGCGGGTGCTGTTATATAAGGCCGTCTGGAAGGGTGGAGGGAACAATTTGCCCTGGGCCCCAAATAAAGAATTGTAGTGAAATATACATAGATATATATACATGTATAACTGTCAATATGCTTCCAGAATTCAGGATTTGGCCATTTCTGGGAACTCAAATTTCAAAATTTTTCCGGAGAGAATGCCCTGGAATAATCGTAGTGTTAGAACCGGAATAATCGTAGTGTTAGAAGATGGAATTACAAGGGCCGCAAGCCAAATTTTGCCCTGGGCACCTAAACAATCCCTGGGCGACCCTTGAATATCAATTGTAGCCTATATTTTGTGGTTCCACATTATTATAAGGGTGTGTTCAGAAATTTTACGGGCGTGCTTCTGCTCCGCTAAACTTTGCACAAAAAGTGTGCAGTGACAAAAAATTCTTAGAATCATGGGTATATGCTCTCGGTAGCTCAGTTGGTCAGCCGGAGCGCTGCACCGACTATCGCAGGGCCGCAGATTCGATTCCTGACAGGATCCTATAGTTGAACTTGTGGTTACAGCTCGCCACAACTGGCCTCTGTAGCTCAGTTGGTTAGAGCGCTGCGCATGTTCGATTCCTGCCAGTGACCTTACATAGAGTTGCATTTTTCGCAGCTGTTCCTGGTTAGATCTAAAAGATGTATATAAATTTCCGCTTGTTATTTTGCATCTACAAGACCCTTCAAAGTTTAGTAATGTATAGTTTGGCTCGAATACAAAAATGTAAGTAATTTTGCTCCCTGCCGTTGCCGTTGCGGTGGCCAAACTCCTTGATAACAATAATGTTGAAAATAACTTGAAATGTTCGGGACGAGAGGTTTGTTTTAATGTATATGTATAGACCTACAGTACTTCTGTTGTTCGCTGTTGGATCACTCAAGCAGAAAATCATAATCGAAATCTCTTGCATTCGGCGTGGGATATCACACTTCAAATTATGGTGCGTGGGAGACCATACAATATTTTAAAATTCAAATACACGAACGTTATTTATATGATAAATACAGGCTGCATTATCTGTATACGCATCAATATTTCACCGAGTTACAGTAGTCGCGTAGGCGTACGGGGTTGATACTTTCCGGGGGAGGGAGGGGAAGCAGTTGAAAGTTTGCTCGAATTTTTTAAGGACAAATGTAATGAAATAAACGGAAAATAATATATTTTGTGATAAATCGGCCCGAATTTTCTTGATTTTTCATGGCCTGGATGGAAGTCGAATAACGAGGTCTAATTGTTGACAATCGACAAAGTTGAGGTTCTGCCTTGTCGATGGTTAAACAGCTAGGATGTACTTGAAATCTAGTTAAAACTTGTTTAAAATGTGTTTGACACCATTATACCTGGGATTACTTACTTAAAATTGGAAGGATTTCAACGAGCATCGGTGATAAACAGTGGAGTCAAGTGGCGAAAATTCACACACCCCCCCCTCCGCCAACATTTTCGGGAAAAATAGGGCCCCCGGAACAAAAATTTGCTCCGGGCCCCCGAATTTCTCTGATAGGCCCAGTTCACACTTACCAATGGCCACCCCTGAATGCATTATCTCTGAACCATACAAACAACTCAGAATAGCCAAAGCTTTTATGGTTTGGTATACAGCATTATGCATGGGGAAAGCGTCGCTTTTGTTGTGGTCAGTTTTGGACGGTTTGCCCAGGATTGGGGTTCGGGTAACGTTACCATGTCGAGCGTCATGGTCAACTTGCCCTAAAACAATCAATTGAGATTATCTGTCCTAAATGAAATGCATACAAACTCGTATACAGGTCGTAAACTAGTGCAATTTCTTGAAATACAGTGCCAAAAATGACAAGCAGTGCAAAAAACTAAGAAATACAGTGCAAATTTCATTGACTATTTAGGCTTCCTCATTGGCTTAAAATATGAAACAATAACGAAAAAAGTTCCTTGTTTGGTACATTTCCAATAAAAATCTGACAAAAGAAATACAAATTCGAAAAAGATGGTTCAAATACACGATAGACTACAAAAAGCTTTCCTAGATCGATCGATGTACTCGGCCATTAAAATGGCCACCAGCAGGAATTTGATCCCGCAATACCATGGTGCAACACATACTAATACCTATCCTTTAAACAGGGAATAGCAGCGGTATGTAGGAGTTGAAAAATATAAACAAAATTTCTACGTTGCGAGCGTGCCCTTCGTCAGGTAGTTAATTAAATGGAGAACAAAAAAATACCATGTGACAAAAACAAACCAATGAGATGGATTTAGTCAAAACAAAGTGTAAACAAAATGTAAATTACAATTAGATACCTAGCTAATATATTAACATGGAAGCTTGGGGACAAAGACATAAGTGCAACAAATATATGAAACAAGTATGGAAAATGGCGAGAATTAAAAGTACAATGAATTGTCAAAGTCTGATTATGTCAGTTTATAAGGGATAGTCTAAGATCTAAAAATTGAGAAATTGAAAACCTTCATTGGCTATCTGTTAAAAAAGATACCAAAAAGGAATCGTGACATTTCTAACAAAACTACACAATTACATTTATTATCAAGAAAATCCAATTGCATAGCAGTTATTTTCCAGTGAAGAATCACTTGTTTTTCTTCAAACGTTTGGAACCATTCTTTTATATAGTGTACCATACCAAATAATACCTGCTAACCAAAGGATAAACATACCAAAGCAATAACACAGCAAGCTCATTTTCGTAAACACGAAACTAATCACAACGCGACTTATTACAATGGCCGATTGCAGACTTCCGAATGATAAACCTTGAATAAATGTTGCATTCCGAGGGTCGATGATCTTTGAAAGAATTGAATTTCCTAATGGAAATGCAAAATATGGCATACCTAGACAAATGTATAAAAGCATAATATACCATTGAACATCCGTTACTTGATTCCAGGAGAAAGCCAAAGACGTGAGAAATGAGAGGGCAATAATTTGCATCAATAACGCAATTACAAAGAGCTTTCGTTCTTCAATATATCGCAAAGCTTGATGAATACAAATCAATACTAGCAGTGTAAACAGGGTACAATTCAAGAACAACAACTTGGTATGAATCAGTTGTAGATGAAAATGATCCGATGCAAGTACTGGAACCAAGAAAGTAGATGTACTTGACAATGTCTCGCTGCAGAATATAAGAAAGAGTAGGCAAAACACTCTCGAATCCCATAAAATTATGCTCAGCTTCTTCTCGATCAATCGTTGCTCTTGATTACATTCACTTTGCGATGTTTCATCGGTTTCGTCTTCACTGGAAATTGAATTCAGTTCCATATTGCGAGCACCGGTCGCTATCCAAATGTCGTTGGGTAAGAGTAGGGAAAAAATAAGGAAAAGAAGCCATATTATTGTTAATACAATCCCAGGTGAATTGCCCTCGTTTATTTGCCAACCAAGTATATTGGCCCGAAATGTAATAAAACTTCCAAGTCCTGGACCAAATGTAGCACCTAGACAATATGCACCTTCTGCGCGTACAAAGTATCTCGCACGACTTTCTTTGTTGGGCTGCAATGCAATTTGTCCTAGAAGAACTGTAAGGCCCACATCACTTAATCCACTTATCAGTCTTCCAAAAAGCGGAAAATACACACTCAGATTAATACTATACATCACATAAGCCAACACTTTTGTTATACATGAGCAAATAAAGATAAACCGAGGATTTCCAAGTCGATCTGTTAGGTATCCAGACAGAGGTCCAGCCAAAATAGCACCAAAGTTGTATGCAGACAACACCAAAGCCAGAAAAATTTCGGTTTGGTGCAGGAATTTGATATAAGTCCATGCAGTGGGTGCAACAAAATACGTTTCACAACCGGTTAAGAAGAAGCGAAGACCGGCAAACTTTGTAATCCAGTCATGGTTACCCATTGTTTTTGAAACTCCGTGATCTACAGAGGAAATAAATTCAATCATTTGTAAGTCTTTATTCGTCGCCGTTCCGGGCTAAGCACGGGGCGAGAGTACTAATTCCGCTCGAGTTGAAGAGTTTATTAGCTTAATATCGGCAAAAAGCAGTTAATTTCAGTTCACATTTAAAAAAGTTTTACATGGAGTTTCGTTTTGAATTTTACATTAAAATAAAGCCCATACTCCATAGAAAGCAAAATAAAATACCTACTTTATATATTTTATAAATTGATAGTTCTGTATTTAAAAGTGTTCAAGTTTCATCCATTTTTTGCAGGTTTCTACCTCAGTGGTTTGTACAAAAAGTTTAAAAACAATTATCGTGTTGCCATGGCTAAAATGATGTGCAACGCGAGCCTGCGTACAGTGTTGGCGTAATTATGAATACTTCATGTTGAAACAATGTTTGGAAAATATAGGCGAGGGTCGTTGCATGCATGTATTTCTAGTATTTTCTACATCTTCATTGTATCTATGTTGTGTTTTCCACCATATCAAACAGGCTGTAGTGGCAACCTTTAGAAGTAAAAAGCAACACTTATCACACTCACTTAATGGTTGCGATATTAACATTCTTGATCGAATTGTATCTATAACGACTTTGTCATGTAGTTTGTAACAAACGTTTTTGTTTATATAATAACTTGCAAGAAATTTAAATACTGTAATTTATGCTGTTTAACCATTGTAGGACTATTGCGTTAGTATATATAAAGGAAACCTTAACAATATAATATATAATATATAGCTCAATCCTGTACTGAACATGGCATTAGATAATCAGACCTAAATATGCATACATTTGAAGCTTTTGTGTTATATTCATAAAAGTTGTTAGAAGAAAATATTTTAAACCTTTAACAAAGTGTCAAAGAAACAAGCATGTTTCCTACAAATATATGGATGCAGTAAACCCTCCCCTATATTTTCCAATAATTGTTTTACCGTGAAGTATTCCGATATACGCAAACACTGAACGCAGGCTCCCGTCGGTAGCGTCACGTGAGCCATGGCAACACATCATTATTTTTCAGCAGATCATTATTTTTCAACATTTCAACAGATCATTATTAGCGCTTTAGAATATTTATAGTGTTTAGCGCTTTATAAATTAATAAATTATTTATTATTATTACTTTTTTGTACAAAATGCAAAAAAAATAATTAAACGTTTAGCACTATAAATTATACACAACTATCAATTTTTAATTTATATAAAGTAGGTTTATTTATTTTCATACTTCAACACTAAACGCGTCGTAGAACGTTTAATGTTCATTAAATTTAACTGCTTTTTTTCGATATATTGTTTAACCTGGTCTTGACATTAAATAAATTGAAATCATACAGTTCGCTTATGAAAACAACTTGCTCTTCTTTTCACACGAACAACATTCAAACAATGCCGAATGTATAAATGTCATGCCAAACAAATTTGCCTTATACTTCATGGCGTCCCGCACTAAATCCTTGCCTATCCCACACCAAGAGCCATATTTTAGAGATCAGTGAGGAGGTCCACCCATGACACCAATGAACCATAGTCACGCACCCGCGATAATGTACTTTAAGCTTCGCTAATGCTCTCCTTACCTCGGGTGTCAATAACCGAATGGAATTAGGACCCTCGTTTTCAAAGGATAATTTATTTACGAGGACGAAATGTCTATAGTCGTAATTAGTCATGACTATAGTCTTATAGTCATGACCATAGTCTTAATAGTTATCCTAAGATATTTTATGATAGTCATCACTATAAATAATGATAAGACTAATTGCTGTTTATGACAATCACATTTGTTGTTTTGATTTTATTACTTGGGACCCTGCATGTACTCAGGGAGCACGTAACTTTAGTATTGTTGTTATTGTTAAAATGGTGTCGTTTTAATACATGGCACATATACAGGGACAGGCAATTTGTTTAAAAATGGGCTATATGATACCTAATTATTTTCGCAGCCCATTCCTGTAAGCCATGTTATAGGCCGCATTGTGTCTTAGTGAGCTAACAAAAATGATATTTAATTGATCCATCAGTGCTGAACATCCTCCCTGCTAGGATTTTGTCTATATTACTCTATATATACCAACGTCCCTACTTTGTGTGATTTTCCACAATGAAGTTGTATCTTTTTTAACATATAGCGGATGTGTAGAAGACAAAACTCTTAACCCTAGCCTTACTAACCCAATCCCTAGCCCTTCAGTTAAGCATAATATCACATGAAGTTGCTGAGATATATTACAGACACAAGAGTAAAATTACCTGGTATTGGCAGAGCATATAATGGGTCTTTCGAGGAACGTCCCCAACGTACCCCGTACATAGAAAATGTCTGCTGTAAGGGGAAGTGGGAAGAAATCCTCTGATAACAGTACAAGGTTGTTCCCAGATGTCATTCACCAGCTGATTTATTATCAAGTACAAGTGGTCAATTTGTTCAAATGTTTTGAATGACAATCTCACCTGATTACACATTAAAAAACTGCAAATCAAATTGTAGTCAATTGCTATTCTATTTGAACGTCACGTTCATGTGTCCTTGATTGTATAGATATAGTATTACATTAGTTATGGATCACCATTATTTGATTTTGTGGGGGGTCTTAAAACATATCAGATATTAAAATATTCGGTTCAGTTTAGTCAACGTTAGTTATTATTATTATTAGTGGATACATGTAAATACTGTAAGCGAAGATAACCTGCCCTTATTACCCCTTGATCCAAATTGTAGCTAGGCAATCACATATATACAGAGAGCATTAGGAATTAATCTACTGGTAAGATAATCATTGGCCACTCATGTAGGTGAGTAGTAACATAGGAGCCGCTCGACCTTGGCAGAGTGTAGTGGTGGAGTGCGGCGGAGTGTTGCAGAGTGTGATCCGTCACACTTTGGGGGTGAGGTAATTAATATTCAGCCGGAGGGAGGGTGAGTGAGATCATTAAATATTCAGTAAATGAGAGTGAGCAAATTAAATATTAAGTAAATATTCAAAATGAGAGCGAGAAGCCCAAGTTGACATGTATGGTTGTCAAAGCCGTTGTTATGGTCGATATTTGCATATTACAAAGTGGTTAACCCGCCCACCCCATGTGGGTACATTTTTTTATTTCACCAAGAGAAAACAGAAGGGGACACGCTGGTCATATTCAGCAAATATTCTCCCAGTACCGCAGGCTTGCATTTTCAGCGGACTTGTAACTTTTGCATTTTGCACAGAACTGCCCATTTTCTGTAAGATGTCCGCTGACAATACGAGCCGGCACGAGTGGAAGAAATTTTGCTAAAATTTGACCAACGTGGGAACATGTTTTTAGTTATGGTTAGGGCTAGTATACGTTGTGGGTTTTGTGAGATATATTGAAATTTTGTCTTTTGTGGATAACTAAAACGTATACGGCAAAATTCATTAATTTTTAAAGGATTATATAGCAGATAGATTTATTACGCGGGCGTGTACCTTAAAATCGGGCGCCATAGTGGATTTGCAGGCAAAAATTTCCGCAAGAATTTATTTGAATTTGAATGAAATGTTAATCTGAGTAGCAGCTAAAAGCCGAAATATACAGAATTAATTACATGCAATATTTCAGAACATAGTAAAAAGGACTCTTAATAATATATACTACATGAAAAATTTTAAAACTATGTAATACCATATGTTACTACTATGCAAATTTTAAATATCGCTAAAACGTCTAGATATTAAGATAATAAGTCACCATAAGCTAAAATATACTTGAAGGTAAATATGAGTTTCGAAATCTATTAGTTTTACAGTCTATTAAATTGACATGGTTATTATTACGAAGAGTATAATTGACTATTATAAGTTCTCACGTCTATCAGGAACGAGTTCATGCAACTTGTGTTTGGGGTGAAGAAGTGTTTTGAAATATGACATTTTCATATATCATTTCTTCTTTGGATAAGTGATTAAATTCCATTAAGTTTCATAACTTTCCGATACGATAGATCGGGGTGTATTATTCGTAAGGCGCATTTTTGAATTCTTTAAACTTCTTCTTAAATAATCTGGAGCACCGTAGTTTCAAACGTGGCATGTGTATTCAAGGATAGGCCGTATGCATATAAAAATTACTTGGATAAGATAATTCACTCCAACTCCGCTTCGTTTAAGTACTCGGAGAAAGTATAGTCTCTTTGATGCTTTTGCCACGATGTATTCAATATGCAAGTTCCAATGAGTATCAGACGAGAAAATAAGACCAAGGACTTTTGCCGACCAACCCGGGAAATAAAATGTTCTCCAACAAACAGTGGACGAAATGATAAACGGTAAACGAAATGATCAACTCCTTACATTTGGCATGATCAAGTACCATATCACTTTCTGTACACCATTCCCAATATCGTCGATAACAGTTTTTATGGTCGATATTTGCATATTACAGAGTCATTAAAAAGTAATTAACCCGCCCACCCCATGTAGACAAAATATTTTTTATTTCACCAAGCGAAATACAAGGGAAGATATTTTCGTTATGGTTTGTATACCTTGTGGGTTTTGCGAAAAATATTGAATTTTGTCGTTTGTAGATATCTGAAACGTATATACCGTGAAAATCGTTGATGGATTACAAGCTAAAATTAATTTCTTAAGTGTATATTATGATAGATAATCTTGCAATATCTTCAAATTTCGCTGGAAATATTTTGATTTTCGTTGCCAAATCTTGAGGCCTCCAATATCTAGAGTCTACCCACGGTTCGAACGGTACCTATTACATGCACTTCGGTGATTTAGGGATACATGTTTGCAAATGCCTCTTACAAAAACTGTAGTTTAAAACAGGATGTTCAAATATCCAGAGAGATATTAACCCATGTTACAATTAAGTTACCCATGTTATAAGTTGTGACTCTAGTTTCACTATTTTAATTAAATATATGCTACGGAGATAAGTACAAATTTAAATTTGTCTTTTACATGGTTTATTTACCAATAAAAACATTCCTAATGTACTGCACTACATTTCCAACTAGGATTATTTACAATGGAATATTCTTCACAATTTTCATTATGCATGTATCCAGATATCCAAAGCAAGGGCGAAAATCGATCTAAAAAGGGCCTCCGAAATTTTTTGAAAACTGAAGCCTGTCATAGCCCCGAAAATGCAATCAAATTTACTAGTTGCGGTTTAATGGTTTTGTTACAATTCATTCTTTCAAAAACAGAAAACCCAGCGAGTAAGTGCTTAAAAAGTGTCTAAAGTTATCGAATCTACCCAAAATCAAATCTTATCTTCAAATGCTCTGGGAACGAGGTTGTTGTTGAAACATTCAATATGTCTAACATTTTCAGCGCATTTTTGCATGATCATTTTAAGAACACTGCACACTTGCTGATTTCGCTATCCGGCGAGAAAAACTACTTAGGATTAGATTGTCTGTATCAATTCCAAGCTATGTCTATGGTTTCGTGTTACTGTATTGTTCCTCTTCTAAGTTGAAATGCGCGCCTCGATAAATAAATCGCTCAATCTCTTTAAAGGGATCGGTCATTAATTACTGTACAAGTGAGGGAAAGGCTGGTGGAAATAAAAAATTAAATGTTAAAATTG